CGGAGGAGGAGCTGGAGGAAGTGTCTGGAGAGAGGGAAGTCTGGGCATCTTAGACTTAGCTTAGACTGCTGCCCCCGCGACCCGGTCCCGGATAAGCGGAGGAAAATGGATGGATGGATGGAACTCGTGTTCCACTGTTTCAGCAGTATTTATGGAATTTATCACCAAATTCCACAGTCAATATGAAATCAATACAGTATGCTGATCAGATTCAGTGATCAGTCAGTGTTTCATGTAGTTTTCATCATTTCACCTTGTGAAGTTGTTTTCTGTAGGAGTCACTGTTTGATGAACTTGTGTCAAGTGTTCAACACACACAAGTGTCACCCGTTGGTGTTTTTGAGTGTGTGTCAATGTCAACGTCAGGTTCAGTTCAGTTTGTGTTGCTGTCATCAGACTCTTGACCCCCGACGCCTGTGTAAACCGCATCAGGGTGTGTGTCTGTGGGGGTGGGTGTGGGGGTAGAAAGGCACCCAGCTTCAGATCGACGGAACAAAGTGGGCGCAGCTGTGGTGAAAACACTGATGAAAATCGTTTATTCACTGGGCACTGGTTTCCTCAGTGAGTCGTGGTTTAGAGAAAATGCAGAAGAATTTAATGTAAACATTGTCATCACCAACATGTAAACCTGGTCACAAAGGTAAACACCATGTAAATGCTTTAGGTGCATTTGTTTTGCCTCATGGCCGCTCCTGCTGCAGCTCAGACAGAGGAGGTGAGGGGGTTGGGGGAGGTCAGAGGTCAGAGGTCAGACAGGCTCATTGTGCGTGTGTGTGTTTCCCATGCAGACCTCATTAGAATATTGATTAGCATGTGAAGAGTCCCACTTCACAATGAGGACTTGATTCTAAAATTCTGTCTGTCACAGTCTGAAACTTCACCCTGACAGAAGACACACAGATAATAAGTATAATAAAAATAATTATGATTATTCTACAGGTCTTGAACAAAAGAATAATAATAAAACATTTGGAATGAAAAAGGAAAGACTGCAGTAATTTTAAAGAAAATGCTCTTTATTCCACAGTTAAATTGTTTCCAGAACCTTGAGTAACCTGGTGCTAACAACTGGAAACTGGTGTATTTCCACCTAATTTACTGCAAACAGTCACATGATTAGTGAGTAATGTTGAATATTTATTTATTTATACAGTTCTATATTATCAAATAATTTTTAATAATTAGTTAATTGCAGTTGGCAACTGCACAATGCTATTAGAAGGTGAACTGGTTTGTTGGAGTGAATACTAACACAGGGTGGTTTCTGATGCAGTATAAAAAGAAGCAGAAATATGGCTAGTTGTCTGGTGAGCTGTCTGAAATGTTTGAGTTATTATAAGTGTTTGGCCAGAACAGCAGCTGTAATGTTTTCTAGTGCTAGTGAGTGTTTGGCAGCAGTTAGCCTGAGTAAATGAAGGGTTGCGCTGAGGGTGTGGGTCCAGGTAAAGAAGGGGGTGGTTCTGGGACAATGGAACGCACTGTTGAGCCTTTTCAGTGTCGTAGGCCCAACTCAGTGAAACACCAGTTAGTGAGAGGACACCGACCTGATGACCCTGTAGACTTGCCTTCACTCCTACACCCACAGAGAACTTGTTTTGGTTATAATACAGCTACAGACTCACTGGAATCGTCTTCTTCTGTTAGACAGGTCTGGTAGAATAGTGGCAGTGGTTGGACAACAGAGCGGACCTGGCTCTCGGAGGTGACTGCTGTTACAAGGCAGCTGGACCAGCCACTGCTTAACCTGAGCAAATACAATGCTGATGCTATGTGTCAAGCCACATATCTGCTCTTTGCTTGGGTGAGGATAGGGTTCAGGGATGCTTTGTGTTAATGGTAGGTTAGGTCTGCAAAATGGTTTTGCTTATTGTTGGGCTCTAAAGATGTATGAAGACATGGCCTGACACCCTCCTCTCTGGGGCCAAATAATGGGTAAACATCATTTAACTCGTGTACTGAGCTTCCATCGTAACGCTCTCCCAGTCTTTGGCACATTTAATTGTGTATTATTGACATTATTGAAACTTCATCATAATATTTACATTGTGGCTGAATAGAAGAGCTACTCTGGCTTAAACTTGAATGTTAACAAAACCCAAATTAATTCCAGGGCATATACAAAATTACATACAGTATCAAAGATCAAGATAAAATTTTTTACTGTCAATTCACTATATGTACAGGACATTTTTTCGACAGAAAAATCGAAATACTGTTAAAATACTGAATACACATACCATTTAAGAAACTAAATTAGAATAAATGTAGAATGAACATAGAATAAATAGAATACGAAACTAAATTAAAGTAATTAGGATAAAAATAAACGGTACAACCTAATAGGCTATGAAGAAACTCAAAACCATACAGTGAAATGACAACGACGACGTACTTGCCATGAGGTATCTGAATACTTCATCCTCTGCTGCCGGAACATTTTCACACGATAAATAACAAACCAGAAAACTGATTAAAGCGTGAACTGATCAGCTGTTTGCGATGGAGAGTTTGTTTTCAGCCAATCAGGAGCCAGAGTTTGTCTGTGTGCATGCGTGCGCATGTGTCGTCTCTCTGCACAAATCACTTTTATTTCCCTGTTAATGAAACACACTCACCCCCTCCTCTTATATTGATAAATGGCTTCTATTCACGCCTCCCCCCTTTTGACCTCTGACCTCTCTTTAGGGTTGGAACTGGGGCTTCAGGACGTGACATGCGTATATGTGGTGTCTCTGTTACCATGGAGACAGACCGGGTGGAGGCGAGACAGCACCTGTCTGTCTGATGGCGGGGGATGGGGGGGTCAGAGGTCAAAGTGGAGTTCAAACAGACGAGTTTTCACATGCAGATTTATTCTAATAAAGTTTGAATTTTGTTCCGCTGTCAGCACCGTGAACACAACTCACATCACTAAACTTAAATGGTGACATTTGTCACCATGGTACAGCTACTACTACACTATTACTACTAATGCTGCTGCTTCTGCAGCAGCTGCCAGTACACACTGAACTGCAGGTCACAGATCAATAGCTGAGAAGTCGCTACTGTCTACTACTACTAATACTACTTCAAAGAGTACAACAACAAATCCTAATACAAGCAAAGGGTAGAGAGTAGTTATGAAGAAGTATATTGAGAAACGAGCATCAGAAAATAAAATGCAGTAAGAAAGTCACTTTCGGGTTTTCCCGTTTAAGGGTCGCCACAGCGAATCGTCACACTGACGATTCACATGTTGACATTTGGAACGTGTTTTATGCTGGATGCGCTTCCTGACGCAACCCTGATTTGCTCTCGCTGCTGCGCCTTAACCACTAGTCTACCAGGGATGGCCAGAAAATAAAATGCAGTAAATAAAAAAAATAAATAAGAGACTTGGTGACTTTTAACAGTTTCATTGAAAAACTTGTTAAAATATTTCTGATTACTAGTATCTTATTTTGTCAACTTGTAAGTTTTTCATATCGGCATGTTTGATCACAGTGACAGTAAAACAATAATGACCAAGTTAAGCCATTATTTTCATGAATGCTTGAAACATGGACTCTCTACCCGTGTTTGTGTGCAGCTCCTCCAGAGTTCGTGCAGTGGCCTCAGTCTGTCTCCAGACCAGCAGGGGGCAGCACAGTCTTCAGCTGCACAGCATCTGGCGTGCCTGAACCGCACCTTATCTGGCTGAAGAATGGCAAACTGCTGACACCCAGCGGCAACGTCAAGCTCACTAACGGGAACACGTAAGGACCTGAGCACATTTTCCTTCATGATGTTGTTCACAGTCTGAAATAACTATCTGCTCTCCATGCTCCCCCACAGGACGCTGGCCATCACTCGAATCACCCCCGAGGACGAGGCCATCTATCAGTGCATCGCTGAGAACAGTGCTGGTACCAACCAGGCTAGCGCTCGCCTCGCCATCAGCCAGGGGCCCGAGCTACCTGAGGCCCCCTTGGGCCTCCAGGCTGCGGCCCTCAGCTCCAGTAGCCTGCAGCTGAGCTGGCAGGAGCCACCGGAGCACGTGAGCCAGCAGATCATTGGATATGTGCTGCACATCAGACGCCTCGGGGGTAAGGGTCAAATTAACCCAGAGACTACACCACAGTGTATAAAAATGGTTGTTTATGATTAGTTGCAGAGCTCTAACCTGTGACCTCTGACCTCTTCAGAGCCAGACAGCGCAGAGCTGCAGGAGGCTATCGGTAAAACAACCTTTAGACATGAGGTCAACAACCTGGAAGCAGCCACTACCTACTCCATCTACCTGAAGGCTTATTCCGCTCTGGGGGCCAGCCAGCAGTCCGACACCATCACGACCACCACGCTGGGCGGAGGTCCGTGCTCTCTGATGCTCTCACACTGTACAGTAACAGTGCTTCTGCTGTTAGATACGTCACCAGCTCCATGCCGTGAACAGCCGCGCATTTGAAAAGACTTCACTCAGGTTTAGCTGAAAGTTTGAGACACCTTGTTCAGGTTTTAAAAGTCGTCTGTCCACATTTTAATTAACAGAGCAAAATAAAAAGTAAAAACACATTTTTCAGGTTGTAGAGACAATGTCAGTAAAAGACATTTGTCTAGAAAAGTAAACCGTGAAGACACGTCTGTAAAATTTGGATTTCGTTGGAAAACACCTTAAACTTTGACCTTTCAGGTTACTGAATACATGTGTGGGGGAGAAGCAGTTTAAATTTGCTGTAAGGTTGTCAAGAAGGTGGCGTTTTCATACTTAAATGTGGTTGTAAAGTGAAAGGACAGTTTCCAGTCACTGGAAAAGACGAGGCTGAAAATCAAAACTGAAAAAATGTTAAAAAGACAAAAACTCACCTGTCCACATTTAACACACACACATTTTTAGGTCCTTGACACAGACGGGTGTAAAACAAACATTTACGTTTACACTGGTTGAAAATCAAAGGTGAAAAGGCGTTTGTGTCAAAATCATACCAACGGATTCTAAATAAAAAGCTTTTGTGACATATTTCTTAAATATTTCTCTACCATCTTTCCACCATCTGTCCATCCCACAGTTCCCAGTTCTCCCAGTTTCTTCACTAAAGTCCTGAACCAGACTACCATGCAGGTATACTGGGAGCTGCCCAGTAAGCCGGGGCAGCTGGAGGGCTTCAAACTGGAGTACCGCGGGGTTACAAACCCAGACATCCAGGGGCAGGACACCTTCCCAGGACACATCAACACCCACACCATCTCCCACCTGGGTCAGTTTTTTCTGGTTCTAGTCTGTGAGGTACATCCCCACCCTGTCGAGATGCAGCAGATTTTACTGGCTGACTGCTGAGTCTGACATCGTCCTGTTGAAAGACATTTCAGGTTTTGTCCACAGGAAATCCTAATACTGTGTGTCATCAGTAAAAATTTTGATTAATTTATCAGTCACCAGCTCTTCCTGTGGACTGCAGAGGTGGAGGCTGCTGTACAAACAGATAATAAATGATATATGATAAACGTATAACATATAAATAAAAGTATAACAGATGTGTTTGTGTCTCCTCCTGCAGAGCCGGCGGCCGTGTATGAGATCCAGCTGGTGGCGTTTAACGGAAACGGAGACAGTCCATCCAACCGCCGCCTTGTGTCTCTGACTGAGGGACAAAACACTGCAGCAAGTAAGACCTCTGACCTTTGACCTCTGGCCTCTGACCTTTGGCCTTTGATTTAATGGTTTTGTGTCCCTCAGCTGGGCCGAGCTGTAACTGTGACCAGTCTGAAGGGTCGATGCTGCTCGTTGTCCTCCACAGTGGCCTCGCCTGTATCCTCTGTTGCCTGCTCTTCATCCTGCTGGGATACAGACGCAGGTGAGAGCATCATCATCATTATGAGAACCTTCATCATTATCCTCACCATTATCATTCATCATCATCATTATGACAGCCTTCATCATTATCCTCACCATCATCATTCTTTGCTGCCTGCTCTTCATCCTACTGTGAAACGGGTGCAGGTGAGACCATATTCATCATCATCATTATGACAGCCTTCATCATTATCCTCACCATCATCATTCTTTGCTGCCTGCTCTTCATCCTACTGTGAAACAGGTGCAGGTGAGACCATATTCATCATCATCATTATGACAACCTTCATCATTATCCTCACCATCATCATCTTTTGCTGCTTGCTCTTCATCCTGCTGTGAAACAGGTGAGACCTTCATCATCATCATCAACCTGTTGTCTGTTCAGTTTGTTCTGCAGGAAGGTGGAAAGCTGGGAGGCTCCGCCCACCCTTAATGGTGTTAGGTGTCCTAAAGGTTACACACCTGAGACCATCGAACTCAGCCAGGTAACACACACACACACCTTAATTCTAAGACCTGTTTGTTATGACCAGATAAAATGCCCTCACTTCATGCCCTCAATCTGTAAAAGTGGTCATCACAAACCCGGACATACAGGGGCACACACTGCAGCATTAATTGTAAAGAAGGTTAAAGTGACATGGGTGATTCTTCACATCCCTTCATCCATTATGACCCAGAAGTTGATTCCACTAGTCCTGGTGCCCATGGCATCACACAGTTACCATGACTACAGCTCCTTCATAACTCCTCTGTCTCCTCTTCATCTGCTTCCTCCAGTAAACACGTGTTAATAAGCTGCTGCTCATTTCAGATGTTTACACAGGTGTAAAGTCATGTGATCAGTGTTTCTACAATATACATTTTACAACGGAGGCCCACCGTTATAAATTATTTATCAGTGTTTCTGTCTGATCCACCCACAGCGATGTGACTCCACCCCTGCCCCAGTGATGGTCATGGTTGAACCGACTCTACCTGTCCAGCCTGGCACAGGCACTAGATAAAACACCATAGCTACAACTACCTTCCTTGTCTTCTTCCTTCTTCCTCCTCCTCCTCCTCCTGGACTCCAGCCTCCTCTCCTCCTTATTGCCTTACAGCCACAGCAGCCTTTAGGAATGACTAAGATTAGAGTTTATAAGAGATTTTTGTCTCAGGAGCATCCAGAGAGCATCTGATACCACAGGGGACCAAAAACTGCACACCGTCTCAGAAACCTTCATGGCACCACCGTTCAGATAACCACCTGCTTTCGACCTTTGAGACAAATGTAGGTCACTTGAGTCCCGTTGTTCCTGTGTGGTATCAGATGCTGACATACCGTTCTGATGCATCCTGTTGAAACCAAAATCTCTTTTTCAGTTAGTGGTCATTTTGAATTTGTCACTGTCGGTGCCAAATTTCTTGAGACGATGAGGCCTTCCACCGGTCTGACCAGAGACCGGGCCTCAGAGGATCCAGCGTTGGATCACTGTGCTCCCACCTGAGCAGGTGGTTCACCTATTGTTAGACGGTCCTCTAAGGGCCACAGCCAAAGGGACTTATTATTTCTCTGGTCAGCAGGTGACTGTAGAGGATGTTAACTCTCCTCTGCACTGCTTTAGCTTTTTAATGGTTGTTTGTCTCCAAGTTTGCGTAGGGAAAAATGCCTACCAGCTGGTTGTCCCTCCCACCCCAATCCCACCTCGTCCACCAAACTCTACCTCCAAAGAGAGCTACCTCGGACTCGACGCCAAATGCCTGAGCTACAGGGAACCATTAGCCTCCTGCTGCTGGTCAAGCTACCCTACCTCAAACCAAAAGGCTCCTCTGGGGCCACGTTCTATTTTTCTAGCTTTGTTGTACCAATGCCAATGTCCTGTGCCCAGCCATCACAAAGAAACCCTGTGAATATCCAGACTCCTCCTCTAATGATGGAGAAAGGAGAAAGGATCTCAGCCCTATTTCAGTTTGTGCTTTTATTTGACTATTGACTGACACTTCCTGTCCAACAACTTCCTACAGTGCTGCTTTAGGAGCCCAGAAAACTGTTGAACTTCCCAGATCTTCCCTGTATCAAACCAACCTGCACTAGGTTTTTTGGTCTTGAACACATTGCATTTTCGGAGATTTCTAGAGTTTAACAACTCCCCAGGTTTCCACAGCAGTCTGTTAGCTGAACTAGACCTTAGCTTCAAGATGACAAATTCCTACCCAAGGTTTTAGCCTCCATGACAGAAAACCCTTTAAAACCTTTAACACCTGCTTCAGTAGCTTCCAAAGTCCAAAAACCTGCCCCAGATACAGGATTTAAGAGTCTAAAGGGTTTTCCTCCAAACCATCCACCTCTAGTATTGATATTTATGATGCAGCATTTAGAGTGTAATAATAAACCATGTGTACTTTTGACATTCAACACTCTACAGAAACTGTGATCCAGACGTTTAACAGTCTAGAAAGTCTGATCCAGATCCTCCACGGCAGATTTACCCACTCAAGATCCACCTGTATCATGGCCATGTTGTACCTCCCCTGCAGAAACCTGCTAAAGATCTCAGCTTTGAGCATCTACAGAGGTTTTGGTTTTGTCCAGAAAAGACTTTCTCCTCTGCTTCAGGTTTAGACTCTGTCAATGAATAGTGATCTTCATCGGTCCAGAAAGTCTTTGCAGGGCCCTAAAGCTCACTGGACCTGTTGGAGGACCCTAACCCTTTAACTGAGCTGCAGGGGAAGAAGAAGAAGAAGAAGAGAGCTGCTGCTTGTCATGGTGACACTTCCTTCTCCTCTGCAGACATCTCACCTCCACCTGAGAAGAAATGGGGAGATCGGTCAACATCTGAGAGACCAACAGGTGAAACAGGAAAGTCTGCAATCTTTGGACATGTCACTATGGGATGTCTCCGCCCTTTTTCTGTCCCCAGTTTTAATGAAAATTTTGATGTAATATTTTTGGGGAGGCAGCCACTTCCTGTCACCTTCCTGTAGGTGTGTGCAGCCTCATCAGCCATGTTTAAACTGACCTGTGATGTCCTGTAGTGTCTGACATTTCTAAATGGTCCTTTAGTTGAGTAGCACATGTATTTCTGTAGGTTTTTCAGCAACTTCCAGATGTTTTTTAAACAAGCTGAACAATGCCCAAAGATGATAAGTTTCCCACTGTTGTCTGTTAAAACTGTTTGTTTTCACTCTGGTTCCTGTTCCCAGGGTCGAAGAACAAACAAAACCAAAAGAAATGTTCACTGTGGCATATTTCAGGTGAACACTTGAAAAAAGGAGAAGTGAATATGTATCTTCATATGTTGTAACATGAAGCGCTCTCTGTGTCCGGACGAGTTTAAATGGCCAAATAAGTGAAGGACAGAAACACTCTGACCAAAAGTTTAGTAACGTTAAAGCGGCTCTTTGTATTTAGAGCCACAGTGAGTCTGTGTTTTCAGTTTGTGTTTGAATGACTTTACAGCTTCTGTCTCTGATACAGTGAGCCCAAAGACCTCAAGTCCACGAGACCCTGAGGACACAGAGCACCCAGAGGACCTCGAGTCTTTCAGATGTTTCCTGTGTAAACTGATGGAAACATTCAGATATTTTGTCTCAGTTCAGTTTTCCTGCAGGGAGCTGTGTCCTCAGAGTAGAGGCTGTCTGGAAATGTGACCTTCAGCCTTGAAGTTACTGGCCTGATTAAACAGCAGGTTTGGATTCAGAGAGTCTGACGTTTTAAATTGTTTTGGCGCTATAAAAATTCAAATTTTGCTACTGCTTCCAATCTGTTAGTCCAAACGTTATTACCAGTACTTTAGGGAAGTTTGAGTCCCAGCAAGTCATGAATAATCTCTTCAAGTCCTACTATGACTTGCACCAGCTCCTGTCAAGTTGCCCATTATGGCACATCTAGTCTAGTCGAGTTAAGTGACTTCAGTGAGAATTAATGATTCATCTAGTTATAACAAGTCTCATGGGGTCACATCACTAAGTTATACTAAGTTGTGTTGTTTCACATCACTGAGTCCCATCAATGATACTCTTGGTGAGACACACATGGAGTCATGTAGAGTCACAGTTAGCCTCACCAAGTTCCAGGTCAAACTTACTTTCTGGTCAGGTCTTGATTCATGTCAGGTCTTATAGAAACATCAAGTCACACTGATGTTGCAGACGTGTTGATTCATAACAAGTCTTCCTCTGCTCCTGTGGTCCTCGGGGTCAAAGGTCACGGTCAGGGCGAGCTACTGGCTTGCTTCCTCTCTGCTCTGAAATGAGCTGAGTCTTTCTAAAACTGTAAAACTAGAAAAAACTGAAATGTTTTATAAAAATCTTTGTAATAATTTTGGCAGTTCTTTTTCTAGAAATTTCTTATTTTTCAGTCACTGCCGTTTGTTGGTGAAGAGGAAATTTTGCCAAAATGAAATGTGGGAAGAAGTCCATTTAAATTTATTATTGCTATTAATATTATAATTATTACCATTTTGCTCCCAGTTCTTCCCTGTTCTTATATTGCTTGACTCCTTTTTCTTTCTTTTTTTGGGGGGTAGTTGAATGATGTGAAAATATTTCTAGAATTTCAGTAAACTTGTGTCTTCAGCTGAAGTTAGAGCGACTGATTAAACTCTGCTCTCAGGTTTAATTTTGACTTTTTACAATGGAGCCATATCTAACAATAAGCCATGCATGTGACTTCTAAGCCATATTCTCCACAGCTGTTCAGTGTCATTTAATATAGAAACCTCATTAGTGTAAAGTGAGACGACCTTTGCCTGCCTCCTGCTGTCAACATCCTGTACAAACTAAAACTAAGACATAGAGACCGTAGTGACGGAACACTAGAACCAATGAGAAAAGTGATGCTTTAATATTACTGATTTCTTTTCTCTCATTTCATTTTATTTTAATTGTGTCAGAAAAACTAAGCTTTAAACTGCTTTTTAAACAGAACAGATGCAGGACGATAAGGAAACATTGAGAATTGGATCCAGAACCAGATTTACACCCGAGTTCCTGTCAGCGTGCCGAACTGTTAAATTTAGACAAATTTGGTATAAAGTTTGGTTGTGACCATCTTGAAAGTGTAAAGCTTCATGCTGCCAGTTTAAGTGTTCTTAGGGTGGATTTCAGGTGTTTGGGGATCAACTTTATGTTTCTCTTGTTTTTAACATGTTTCTGAAATTCTGTTACTTCTGATGTTTGGATACATAAAAACCAAATAAAACAGAATTTATGTAGAAAAACAGTCTTGACTCATTGTCCTTCCATTTGAGCTGAGCAGAACTTATTCATGTTGAAACACAGCAACAGACTGAACTTTTATTTTGAAGATTTCAGTCCACCAGAAAACATCTTGCAGAGAAATGAAAGATTTATCTAATTAATTTTATTTTGGTTGATTCAATTCATTATTTACTTTTTGTTTTTACATACTACTTACAGACAGGGACAGTGAGCTGTACAGTATAGCATTGCTATAAATTGGCCAGTTTGCCATTGCCTGGACTTTTGTGTTGTTGTAATGTTTGTTGCTGAGGTGTATCTTCTCCCAGGTGCAGGCACATGTGACTGACGAAGCTTCAAAATTAAAAGTTTGTCTTTTTTAGTGGTGCCGCAGGGTCTAAAACTGATGTTCTCCTGAAGACAAAGATGATTTGTAGGTTCAAAAGCATTAAAAGCCAAAATAAACAAATCAGGTTAAGAATCTGTTTTATTTGCAGTGGATCATGTGACATGTTTTTGTCTGTATTATTTTAGAAATTATTTGGGATTGATTTTCTCCTTTGGCCTTTGGTGACAAGTCTATTTCTTCAGGTGTTGGCTGGTGTAGCTTCTCACAGGTGTGACTGATTTCCTGTTGATTGGTTGCATGATGCATCCTGATGAAGCTCATCATATGCCTGGTTTTTATGCTCATATGCTGCTGTGAATAAAACTACCACAGTGACCAGACATAGGTTTTTCACCTGGTTCTTTATTGTCATTGGACTGCTGTTTTTGTGCTTAGACAGCCAAAGTGGAGTTTCACCCATTTCCTCTAAGCACAACGAAAAGATTCCGTTTTCATTCTGACTGATGACATGAAACAGAAGCAAATTTTTAAAGGGAATCCTTTTCCTCTGTTGTTAATCTGAATTATGTTCTGTGCCTGTTAACAATGATCACTTGCAGGAAGACCCCATTAGCATTAGCAGCTTCAGTCTGAATGAGCAGCGTATTCTGTCTCTGTATCAGAGCAGCTGTCCGTCAGCAAGACAGAGACTTCAGCAGGTGGACAGACAGCACAAATGTACCAGGCAATCATAAGACATATAAGATAAAAAAAACTGTAAACTTGTAACAGAAACTTGTTTCAATAAATGAAAAATATAAAAACAAAATTTTTAAAAACAATTTTACAGAAAATAATGATCGGCGATTTTATCCTTTTACAGAGACAATCATAGCAAAGATGTTAATGTCCTGTTAAAGCTGCGGTTTGTGGTGTTTGTCCACCAGGGGGCAGACTCAGAGTTCTGGTCCACCTCCTGCAGTCCCAGTTCAGGTCTTCACAAGCTGATAGTGACAATGATTAACTCCTGGCCGCTGACTGGTCAGTGTCAGTCTCCTGCCTGGTTGTTGGTGGCAGGGTGCAACTTCCCACTGTGATGACCCTGCCTGCCA